TCATCACAGATTGACAGATATGATGAACAGAGAGCAATTATGGAAAATGATCAAATTATGTGAGAAAGTATCGAACAACTCAATACCATTAGACACAATGTGATCATTTTAGAATTTAAGTGAACTGTTTCTTATGACTCTGATTTATCATGAAGAATGAAATGTTTATAACATTCGGTAATGAACATTTTAATGATGAATGAAAATATTTGAATTTGCTGAAATTATTTCTGCTTAAGAAGTAAACTTAGGAAAAAAAGATGAAATGAACTAAAAAGCGCAACATCTAATCATACACCAAATAGCCAATGTTTTAAAAATTAACCGTACCAGAGGTATCGAATTTTATATCATTCGCCCTGCAGCAAAACTTACACAAACATATACAAAACTATTTTTCGTTCACAAAATTATACAAATTACGCACATACACCATTGCGATCAATAAAGATTTATTTAAGCCTATTTATAATAATTTTTTAGAAGTCATTCACTAAAAAGCTAATTAATTTAGTTGACAAAATGTTCGCAATAACTGCATGGTAATAATTTTATACAGGGAAAGTAAAGGAGAATATTATAAATTACAATTTTAATTTCTGCGATATATATATATATATTTGTGGCTTAAGTACTGATGCACAGAAAAGATATGCAGGGAAATTTTTCTTAAGCTCCAAAGATTTATCAATTTTTTCAAACTATTCATTACTTTGATTGTAAAGAAATTAATAAAGAAAAGCGCAGCATAAGGAATAATATAGCTAATCAAAAGTGATAAATAAATAGAACTAAACTAATAATTGAAAGAATTGACATAATAGCTCATCCTATTGACACATTTGATTAATTTATTTGATTGATAAGCAATTTCTAATGCAATTTTTGTAAGTTTTCAATTTCAACTCATAAATCACCATTTGCTTTGATTAATAAAAAAATTTATCTAATTTATTTGTTTTATTTTATATCGACTATTCTACTAACTAAAATATGATTGTTGCTGATTATTAGCAATAGAATGAATGCAATTGCAGATATATTAAATTAAATCAACACTGAATTAATTATTCTAATTAGCATCCAACTCTTTTTCTGTTTTTTGCTTTTTTTTGAACAGCTGAGTGAAACACTAATCTTATCAATCTTCAATTTTTATGAAACAAAAAAGAAAAAAGGCTGAAAAATGCTTCAAAAAAAAATTTTAAAAAAAAGAGAAGGAACAGGCGAAATTTGGGAAAACATAAAAATGAAAGGTTTCATAATGAAGAAGTCAAGTTCATTTCTTCCCATATAAATTCGATATAATATTAAAAATTTGATTGCGGGGAAAAATTAACAAAGCAGTAGATTAGGCAATGGAAATAATAAAGTATTTGTGATAGCGTTAGAGATTGACACTTAACTTTAAAAAGCAGCGATTATTTGGTCAAATTATAAATTTTTATGCTTGGCTAAAACAACCGAAAAATTGAGAAACCTACTGATAATTGTTCTGTAAGATCAACTAGAAGAAATAAAAACTTCGAAAAGCTTCACTTCAATTAATAATTACTTCAATCAAATAATCAATTGATAAAATATAGCTTAATTCAATCATTCTAATGAATTACTTTAAACTTTTGCCGTAAAAATTAAATTTAATTAATTTAAAGTAGTAAAAACAAATATCAATTGAAATTCGAAGAAAAAAAAATTTCGATGTTTGTCATTTAGTGTCTTAAAATTAATTTAATACTGCAATAGAAATTTTGAATAGTAAATATAATGACACCATACATAAAATTATGAAAAGGAGAAAAGAAGAAGAATTAAAAATGACGAAAATCCTCGGCTGAACTATTCAAGATGAAAAGACACTAATTCAAATTTAGAATTACATGAATTACATGATTAACATGCAATAATAGAAGACAATAGAACGCTTCGGATATTCATTAGTATGATAAATTTCATTAGTAACATATTCCAGTTGTAAAGTAATAATTTAATGTAACTATCATAATTCTCCAAACATTAACCTAAAAAAAAACTGCAGGAAAAAAGCTAAAGCTATAATTTGTATATTGCAGTACAATCAATATTCTTACTGTTATTACAGAAAATTACAGTGTTGTATTAAAGTCAATAACATTACGTATTTTTTAAGAACACTAACACATTATGTTTGCTGTTAATCACAAAAATTTTTAAAAAAAACAGCACACTTTGGTAGAGTGCTTCTGTTTAGCAGACAACATTTATTGCATTCTCAAATCTTAAAAATCAAAAATGATTTCAAAAGAACTTAGAAAATAAATCACAGGTAGACCACATAGCCGCCGTAGCTCAGTCGGTTAGAGCGTGGGTCTAATAAGCCCAAGGTCGCAGGTTCGACCCCTGCCGGCGGCAGGAGTACCCGTTTTGCAAAAGCAATTTGTAAGATTTCAATTGAATAATTTGAATTCAAAAATGAAATTTAAATTCAGAAGAATCAGAAAAGAATATCCCTTCAAATTCAGAAATGGAAGAAGGAAAAAAGTTCAAATTCAAAAATGGAAAAAGAAGACAAGGAAATGTTAATCAAATTGCTTTTAGCTGCTATTCCTTCGATGTCATCATCACAATCATTACTATCATCATCACCATCATCACAATCATTACTATCATCATCACCATCATCACAATCATCACCATCATCACAATCATTACTATCATCATCACCATCATCACAATCATTACTATCATCATCACCATCATCACAATCATTACTATCATCATCACCATCATCACAATCATTACTATCATCATCACCATCATCACAATCATTACTATCATCATCACCATCATCACAATCATTACTATCATCATCACCATCATCACAATCATTACTATCATCATCACCATCATCACAATCATTACTATCATCATCACCATCATCACAATCATTACCATATCTCTGTCATTCCTTCTCTTGTCTCTCTAATATATCACATGACAAAATTGATATCAATTGAAAATTCTTCACGCATGAATTTCAAATGCAAAAGCCACGATCTTGCGTGCCGCCGGCAGGGGTCGAACCTGCGACCTTGGGCTTATTAGACCCACGCTCTAACCGACTGAGCTACGGCGGCCCTGCCGGTGCTTGGCATTTGAGCTAATGTTGAATTTGAATACAAATATAAAAATTTCTATTGTTATTACATATTACATCGATCTAATCGATCATGTTGTTGTGACAATATTGTGATGATTTAAGGAGAGAGAGAGAGACAGAGAGAGAAAGAGAAAGAATATTGACTATTCGATAACGAGAGTGGTTATAGTAGTGAAAATAGTGACATTGTCACAACAATGATGATTGGTAATGGTGATTGTGATGATGGTGTTCATGAGTGATGATTGATAATGGTGGTGACAATTAATGATAGTGATAATGATATTGATTATGGTGATGATAATCGATTGATCGATTAATGTATGAAAATGATAATAGTAACAGTGGTGATAAGAGACTTTTGCTGTGCTGGTGTAGTCAATATTCAAGAAATATTAGTTGTTACATTGTGTTATACTACCTGTAACAAAGATATGTGAAAGTACGACTGCTAAGTGGGAAGTACTAAACTTTCGTGTTACTCTGAAACGAAATATTAATCGGAAGGACAGTACTGGCTGGTCATGTCGGGTACAATACGCATTTTGTTCCTACATATCTTTTTACAACTTAATAGATTTTCATCCAACGTCACATTTTTTTTTATAATTACCAGTTTTTCAAAACGATGCTCAATGTGCCGCCGGCAGGGGTCGAACCTGCGACCTTGGGCTTATTAGACCCACGCTCTAACCGACTGAGCTACGGCGGCCCTGCAACAACTCTTCTATAAATTTTATATTAGAATGGGGTCATTTTTAGCTGTCTCTCAGCATGAAATGTTTATTAATAAGATGATGACACAAGTAAGGCATGATTTATTTCTTACTTGTAAAGTTCACATCAAATTAACAACGCTTTAATTGAAAAGTATTTTCCGAGTATCATTCGTTCGGCAAGCATAAACGTACGATCTTGACCTGTGCAGGCTAATTTTTTATTGATTAAAATGTTTCAGTGACTTCTATTATCACTGTTATTATCACTTCAGCTAAATACATTTAATTTGCTTTGCTGCTGAAAATATAATGTAGGAAATTATTGAAAGATTGTTTCAAAAAAAAAAAAAAAAATAACAGTAATCAATCAGATTAATTAACTGGTCAATTAATAATAATAACGGATGCATAAATTTCTTCTTTTAATTATTTTATTGCAGTGCAATAGCAATGTTTTTTGATTATTTTTATTGCAGTGCAATAGTAATGTTTTTCTCAAACTTTTCGAGAGTTAATCAAATGCTTTCTATGTTTTTGTGCGGATATAACAAATATATAATTTCATGCCTTTTTATAATTTTATGGATGGATATGAAATTAAAAGCGGTCAATAGAAGAATTTTTTTTTTTGGACTTATGGTATCTGTTAATAAGAATAATTAAATATTAGAATATTAAGAAAAAATCGAGGAGTAAATTTTTTAAGTGGACCATATGCTTTTATAAGAAAAATAAGGAAAATTGTTGCTGTGAATGATAATGAGTTTGAAAATGAGACCTAATTTAAATACTAGCAATATTTTTGACATTTAGTTTGCTGTAATTTTTTCTCATAATCATTCATCCAATCACTAATAATATAAACTGGGAAGAAGCAACAACATTTGAAATACGAATCAATAATTAACAATAAGCAATCAAAAAATATCCATGAATGTCTATTTCAGAATGAATCAGAAAAATAGACATTAAATAATTATTTTTATAATAATTCAAATGCGATTAATAATACAAATTATATAATGATACAGAAAGTAACAAATCAAATATCTATCGATGGATGTAGATCTAATGATATCCACTGATAACAAATAAAATCTACTGATAGAAGATTCTTCTTATATCTTACATTTGATTATTTTTTATTCGAGCTTTGTCTTCGTGCTTATACTGTCGCTTAAGTTGATTAATTTCTCCTTCAGTTTTAGTGATTCACGTTTTGCTTTGCAGTAACGTCGAAAATAATTCTCTAAAAATGCAAATTAAATGATACAAATAAATGATACCAAGATTTAAATGTTTTCTTTATCTAGTTTGATTATACTATTATAAATAATATTACTTTAAAGTTTTTAAACAACAACTTATTGGCTACTGTGTTTATCCGAAACTGCTTTTAATTAGCTTCAGAATTATATGATTTCGATTTTGTTTCAGAAGGATTAATTTTTTTATGTTGTTACAATATAAAATTATACTTACTGATTTTTTGTTGTTCCATGGATAATTCTCGTTGTATTTTATCATATTCACTTTGTTTGTATTCAAGATCTCGTTGCACTTTGCATAGGAGTGCTGTAATAGTAATTAAAAACTTCAAAAAAAAAATTAAGGTTCGTAACTTTTTTTAGTGGAAAACAATCTGATATGCCAATTTATGATTTTAACATATACATAGGATTAATTATGATGCAAATATGCTCTCCCATTTTGCGATAATTTACGCGTCAATAGATTTAACAATTTAAAAATTTTTCATAAACAATATTTATTTTTGAAAATACGTTACTAAAATCAATTATGAAGATAAAAGATAAAAGCAAATTTAACATTTCTCATTCTCAACCAGTTCACGTTCCGTTTTTAAATTCACCATTGCCATTTCGATTAACGTGATTAATTTACTGAGCATAACTTGTAAAATATTTGTATCTTCGGTTGATTCATCCTGAGAATATTATCGGAATGTGTTTCAATTATTTATCAGTAAAATATAGCCAAAGTAATTTTGAAATTTATTGCAACATGATGTAATATTTTATATAAATATCATGAAAAGTAGCAGTAAACATTTGCTGCTGTTTTTAACTTATTTTATTTAACGGCTTTCGTTAGCTTATGCAGGTAAACAAAATCACATGTGGTAAATAAACAAAATTTACATTCTAATTATAAAAAAATCGAACCTTGGATAAGACAGATAAAATATCATTAATAACCTGATTGATGCATTTGCTTCGTGAACAAATTTGAATGAATTTGGAATTATGACTTGAAATTCCTTTCTCTGATGCGTTGTTGCTGTCACTCTCATTTTGATGATTGTCAACATTTTTAGTCAAATTCAACGGTATCGATGGTAATGAAATACTTCATGAAATGATTAATACAAATGAGTATGCACTATTTTTGCTCAAGTTAATGAGATTATAGTATGTAGAATTAACAACTTTGTTTGTGACAATGATTGTGACAGCAATTTTTACATATTTATATTTCAGCATTGGAAATACACAATGATAATTTAAAATTATGAAATGGCAACGAAGAGAAATTTACATCAATGATTACTAGCATAAAAGAAAACCTGGAATCTGATTTGTGGTCAGGAAAAGTTGTATCAATTGTATTTTCTTTTGATTGCAGTGATTGGGAAGTAATTGCTGTAGTAACAGTAGCCATCAGTTGTCGAATTTGTTGCTTTGTTGTAAATGGTATCAGTATTCCTTAAATATTTATATTATAATTTAACAACAATTACAAAAAAAAAAAATATTGAAACATATTTTTTTTTGAGAAAAAAAAAACAGTATACTTCACATAATATTTAACTGTAAAAGAAAAAAATTGTGGTCGAAAAAATTTGACAAAAAAAAGCGCTCACTGTTTTCTCTTTTTTAGCAAAAATAATCAGTGGATGAATTAATCAAATAATTTAATGTTCATTCAATTGAAATTTTGTTAATTTATGCATTTGTTTTTCTCATTTTCATTTCCATTTTTTTTTTTTTTTTTTTAAATAAAATAATGCAGTTATGAATGAACAAAGGAAAGAATAATGAATTATATATGTATTGCCAGTGATATCACCATTATCATCAATATTATCATATCTTACAACTATAGTGTATCGCTTCATACTTTATACAGTTTCAGTAAATTTAACTCCTATATCAGTATCAGCACTTTTCATTGATAAATTATTGTTTTCTGATCATTTTCTATGACTTTTTTACGGTCAAAGTATATTATTGTGTGCCTTTTAGAGAATTTTCTGATCATTGCTCTAAGATTTTACCTTTCTATAAGTATTTTACAGTCATACTGAAAATATTTTATAAGCTGTTATACTGCGTTCTTATCACTAACAATCACTTGTTGTTAATCGATTATTATGGAATAATTAAATAAAAGAATATTTTGAACGTAACAAAATGCAAAAAAGTTTAATACAATAATGAATGATACAGAGACCGATTCATTGGTATGTTGATAAGATATGATTAGTTAACGATATTTAATCATTTACCTTATAAAGAGCATTTTTGATGCAAATCATTTTAGTAAAAAATGAACTTTTTTAAACATTTTAAAATTAAATTTGGGGGCTTATATTAAATGACCTATAATATTGCTGTTTAAAATTTTAAATTTAATTTGTTGTTTTTTGCCATAACTTCTGCTGTATAAATGATCGGAAATTGCAGAATGATAAAAAACGCTGGAATAATTACGGACTATCTGAAGTGTATTTCTGCTTTTTACTCTTATCATTCGATGTATTTTCACATTCTGCAGGACGCTTTGTTAGGCGACCCGATCGATGCCTATAAACGAATTACTGTTATCCAGAAGAAATTGCATTATTCATTTCTTACAATTGTTTGGTATCATTTCAGGACGCTATATTTCTCTTTGAGTTAAATGATTGAAAGAAGTGAGAATAGCGATTCTTCTTCAATTATTCATTTACTAAAACTAATGGTGATGAAATTTAGTGTGATTGATAAGAAAAAATTAATTTCATAACGTTTTATAACTCACTGAATTTTATAACAGTCATTGTATAATTGATCAAAATCATTACAAGAAATTAATTTACAACGATTAACAGCTTTCTGGATAGCACCCAAATTTCGTAATGCTCGAACCTAAAATTTCCTATGCAAATCCAATGATCTGACTTTATTTCAGGAATCAAATGAATCCGATTCTAAAAATCATCAGTGTATATCATTCTCTTTTATTTTCTTTCCAAATATATAAAAATGGGTTTCTGTTCTTTTCTTAAAAATGAAACATATGATTTCACCATAAAATAATATTTTATGATAAAAATTTAAAAAAGATGGAAATTTACACAGAATACTTCTATGTCATAAATTAATAAAACAAATTTATTGTTTAATATAATTCCCACTTCTTTAATGAAATCATAAGTTTTTTTTCCTTCATTTAATTGATCATAATTTCATATATATCACCTCTACCACTAAATTCGAACGTATCATTGAATGTAATTTTTTATCTAATCAAAATATAGTATGTGAAATTAATCCTTAATTAACAGGAGCAGATTTATACCTGTTCAACATTACAAATAACAAGCCGGATTTGAAGACGTTTCAGTTTGGTATGAACAGTGTGAAGGCCACTAATAACATTTTTTAGAAACATTTCATATGCCTAAAATGTGAATAAAATAATTAGCATGATAGTGAATAATGATCGATAGATAATGAATAAATAATATCCTTTTATAAATTTAATTTAAAATTGTATCAAATAAGGTGAATAAATGCTCTTATAAATTGAAAATTTCATCTAAACTTTTGATAAGGAAAGAATTTTCAATAGAATGTACTAATTACCTGTGGCAAGCATATCATTCGAATTCCCTGTAATTCGAAACCAGCAATTTTCTCTCCGCGATATACATAAATTCTTGCATTACTGATAGATTCCATTAATTTGTTATCATTATAATTTGGTATTGTGGGTGACTGGGTTGTGATATCTTTATAATTGGATACTTATCATATTTAATGTCATAAGGATAAACCTTATAAGAAAATTTCATTATTGAAAATTTGAAAAATTAATTTTTTTTTCTTACCATTAACTTATCATACAAGAAAGGAGCTAAAATTTGGAATTTAGGGTAATTACTGAAGTATGAAAATTTAAATAATTAGAACTGTTTGTACATTATTTTTTGTTTAGTGTGTGAATTTAAAAAATTAGAATTGTTTGTATATTATTTTGTATAAGTTTTATGAAAAATTTTTGTAGGTAAATTTTTGACACAAAAAAAATTCGACATAAAAACAAATTTGCTATTAATTACAATTAAATTTGAATAAGTTTTAAGCATATCGTCCAAATTTGAATTTTTTTCTTTTTTTAATATATCATTAATAGACGTTTTAAGGAAACAAAATAAATTGTAAATTGTGACAAACCTTTTTGGTTATGCGACATACTGTTAACATTTTGTTGCAATTCAACTGACCCATGAATTGAATTCGTAATTTCCATATCATCAATGGAAATGGAACTCAATCGTTGGAACTGTTCGATAACCGGATACATTGCATTTACTTCCTGAAATTATGGCAATAAATTTTACAATGATTTTTTTTTTACATGAAAAAGAATTTAATAGTAAGGAAATAATATACAAAACTGAATAAAGAATCTTCAAAACGGTAAAAATTTTAAGAAATTACATGTAAGACTGGATGAGCTAAACACAATGTGATTAATAGGTGAATTAGTATTTTTTACATTAAATTCAAATTTAAATTTGCTCGTCTTATTTACTTTGAAATAAATAATTCAATATTTCCTGTTATAATCACAATACTCTTTCTAGCCAGAATATCAGAATAAGTTGAAATACTGAAATTATTAAGTCGTCATAAAGCTTTGCTACACTGAAGATTGTTCAAACCTAAATTTTGTTTTTAACTTTAAAATTTATCGAAGTATTTCAATGAAATACATTGTTTATAGAAATATTACGATGAATTACTAATCGATTTTCTAATCAGTAGATTATTTATTTAAATACTAATAAAATAAACACAGTAAATTATCATTAAATACAAGGAATTCAAAATTTTGAATCATGAAAAAAACCTAGGTTAATTTCTATCGTTAAAATATAATATATGAAATAAATATATAAATAGTGGACGAAATTTTATAAATTTAAATTATTTTAAAAAAATGAAGGAGGCGAACAAATAAATGGAATAATTGGACAAACCCATCTTTCAAGTTATTTATGATATTTATTCCTTAGTTATCAGAAAATGATAAGACATGAATTAGTTACAAAATTATGATAATTCTACAGATATAGCAATCTCAACTAATTATTCAGTGAAGAAATGCAAATAACTAAAGTAGTTTCACCTTAGATAACTGGTGAATTAAAACAATGAAATATAAGGAAAGGAATGAAGTTGAAGTAAGCAAAACAGATATCCGGATTAGACTACTTCCTTTATGATAAGATGAATACTGAATAGAAATTTTTTTTGATTGAACCTATCATCTAACTCTTCACAAATTTCATTATTACTTATCGGAAAGAAATACCAATGGAAAAGAAAATATTTATCTGTTTGTTTCTCTTAGGCAATGCTGTTGCTAGTAAGAAAGGTAAGAGAAATGATTTAGTAATTTTGCTAATTGCTACTCTCCCAGTAATTCAATAATTTCAAGAAATTTTCATTCCTTTCATTTTATCCTTCTCAAGAATTATTAATTTTATTTCTCATTCTTTTTTCTCTTGTACTGAACTTAATAAATATAGATGATTTATTCAGGAATTTTCTGATTCAAAAAATTACTTGATTTACAACTATTTTTGATACAAAACAACTTTGATTCCAACTTGTAATTTGTAATTTGTACTAACACTTTGTAATTCACTACAGTGGTTTGTATTGACTTCCTCTTCTCTCTTCTCTTCCTTCCTTTCTCTCTCTCCCTCTCTTTCTCTCCCCATTCCTATTTCTTCTTGCACAGATTTGATTTTCACAACAGACTTAATAATTCTAATATTTATTAATAGATATAACTATATATATGTGTGTACGTACGTGTATGACTATGTATGTTTCTGTTTATTTTGCAAACATAATTAAAAAGTAAGATAAAAAAATGTTGGGCTAGATTGGAATGGAAAACAGTAATAAAAAACGTGAAATAAGTAATTGAAGTGAATAGCATCATGTATACTATAAGATTTGATATATAAATTAGTTGCAGTGCTTCTTTTTTTTGAAGAGATTTGTTGATAGCAAAAGGTTGGTGATATCATTAAAATGCATAACTTTTTATTTCATGAAGGATTTGAAAAAGAAGAAAAAGTTATAAACGAAATGCTTATTTATCAATTTTATATATGGTGATGATATATACTGCTAGCATAAATGTATTTTACTAGACGTTTATCGAATAAATCTGAAGATTATAACCAATGGAAACACATAAAATTTTGTTTTTAAATTAATCATTTCAAATTAAACATTTAGAGAAAGGAAAAAAGGAAAAATAAATTGTAATGACACGGAATGACTTAGAGGAATTTATTTCATTCATATGAATAATTGCTTCTAATTCATCGTAATGTCAAGCATAAGATTAGGATTTATAGAGATTTATTCGGCGAAATGCTTTCTGTTGAATTGTACCTACATCACTCAGCATGATTAGAAATACCTTTTACATTTGTAACTCTTTTTCGAATCGATTGCAAAAGCTCAGATTAAAAATTTTGTGCTAAAATCATGAATCAACATCATGAGTTTCTAATGAGAGTTTGTTGATTAATTAAATACCACAATTATTATTAATATTGACAATCATTATTAATATTATCATGACAATTATTATTACACATTATTATTAATATTGTCATTTGACAATTATTATTAATGACAATTATTATTAATATTGTCATTTATTATTATTATTATTATTATTATTATTATTATTATCAGTAACAAGTAAATACAACTTACTTATTAATCAACCATTTTGCAGTCAAAATTCTTTAAAATTCAAGTTTTAAGTTGTCATTAAAAAATAGGTGAATAACGGATGATAAAGACAGGAATCCGTTCCAGTAAATTAATATTATTTACCAGTAACCTTACAGTTTGGTCGAAATAGTCATAGGGTAGTTAACTCAATTCGTTAATTTCATTTAGTCATTTGAAATGGTAGCACTTCATGAAATAAGTGGAATTACCAAAATAATATTTTTGATGGACTTAATTACTTAGAATTGTTAGCGTGATATTATTCCCAAATTTTTGCGAGCACAATTAGCAACAGTTATTGAATTTGTCAAGTATTTCATCAATAGGTGCAAAAATTTGAAGGAATTTTAGACTTCGTTTCATGAACTTTCTTCTACTTAAAATCGTAGATATTGGTCATGACAATTTTCATCTTATTGAATTACTTCAATAATACTGCTTCAAAACATTATTCATTATATGAAAACAGGATTAAAAAGCAAAAAGAAAAAACTTGCATAAATCATTTATCATCCCAAAATTGTAATTAGAGGATGTGCATGCAATTTTGCGCCTGATTCTCATATTTATAACAAATTTATTGTTGATTATTGGAAATCTCGTCGTTTATTTCCAGCACTGCTTCGTTTTCCGAATAAAAGGTTCAGGAATCCGCGACTAGGCTCTTTTTTTTTCACATGCATCAAACGACTCGGTTCTTTGGTATCACTTGCTACTCGCATTATCAGCGGCTTCATATCAAACTAAAGGAAAGAAATATTAATCGAATTTAGAAATCTCAATTTTCGAATGAATTTTTGGTACTATTCGCTTAGTGCTGTATCATAAAGATAATAAAAAACTCTTCTGCTGTATTTTCGGCGATCAATTTTAGTACTTTTTACTTAGAGAGAATAGCAGTATTTTAATAGAAAAAAAATTAAGTTGAAATAATTTAAAATCTGTTTTAAGTTAAAATACAAAAGCTAAAACAATGATAACTTGTCATTTTTAAAGATGCAAAATGAAAGCTTTTTATTTCTAATATGAAAATTATTTAGTCATTTAGTAAAATTTATTGTTTGAATTTCCATTTAAAAACTATTTTCATTTTCTATTTCACCCAGTAATACTTACTTGTAATGAAGTAGGTGATTTATAGGATGACGTTCGCAATATACTTTTTAATGGAAATTGTCTTCCAGCACATGAACGTATTCTTGCTGCTTCACGTTGTCCAATTTTTACCGCATCTGGTGCCATTTTTGGATTTCGATCACCAACCAATAGCAACACTTTATTACTCCTGCAGATATTAAGTATAATTTAATTTATACAAAAAAAGTGTTGAAGACAGAAAAGTCGTACTTTAAGAAAATTGTTAAATGATTAAATTAAGAATTATCCGCTTATGTTTTATGCAGCTCCTTTTTAGGAAAATAAAATTCAAAATTATAATAGTATTGGATATATTTTTATGAAGCTGTTAAAGTTACTTAAATTGTAAATGAAAAAAAAAAAAAAAAGGTGAAAAAATAGTCATACATGGAAGTTGAATCATCTGATTCTTTCCTTTCAACAACAGTGGAAACACATGATGCGCTTCTTAAACCGGCGATTATTCGTTCTTTTGCATCTGCCTTCGAATATACCTAATATTATGATAATTTTCGATGAATAATGGTAGATAAAATTTGTTTTGAAATTTTGGTTTCTTAAAAATTGAATTGAAATTCAGTTTTCAGTTCTGAGTGGTAAAACTACCCGGACACCATCAACGTCGAGAATATGATCACCTTCCTGATAACATTTACTCACAATGCTACCATCTTTACATTTCGTCACCACAACCTGATTATGTATTTGCTGGAAACCAGGAATACTTTGCGCATAAATATATCTGACATTTCCTACCAATTTCATTTCCGATTATTATAATTAATAGGAGAAAACGAGAGAGAAAGAGGAAGGAAAAGAGAGGACAAGAAAAAGAGGGAGAAAAGAGCAAAAGAGACATGTACAAGATTTAAATATTTTCATGACAATTGTATATATTAGAAATGAAACATTTGAATTCGCAGTCAAACTGATTAAATTAGATAAATGAATTCAGAGTTCAGTAAATATGAACAATAAATATTTCAATCCATAGATTTCTTATAAATCAAGTATGAATAATTATTATCTCAGTATGGAGATATTTCTTACAAACGAACTACCCTAACAGATAAACCAAGTTTCATTCCATCAATACGATGCAAATAAGCAATAAAATATTGATGATGTCTTTTTGCAACAAGTCCAATTTGTCGAGCTCTTAAATCGGTTAACGGTGACTTCCATAGTTTCCGCTCCACTTCTATTTTTACCATTGGAAATAAACGCTTTATCAACTGCAAAAACTTGGAATATTAACTAGAAGTATGAAATTTATTTTCATTATGACAAAGCAAAAAAAATTTGAGAAAAAATTTTAAAAGATTTTTTTTTTTTTGATTTTTAGAAAAACTATAAATTACTTTTGCAACATGATAAATGAGTAATTTAAGGGTAAAATCAATGTATTAACATCATGGCAATTCTTTTTCTGTTCAATATTTTATATTATTTTTTTTTTGTGCAACAAATATCTGACAAATATTAATAATTTATATATGCATTATTATTTGTTCACTTACATCATAAAATTGAACCTGATCTTCAACAACAACATCATTTATAGAAATAATTACATCGCCAGGATGCAATATCCCATCAGCTCGCATTTCTTTTTTTACATCTAATACTGTTAAATTTTTACCAAATTCAATTCCAAACTATAAAAAATGAATTGAATTATAACTTAACATTGCCTTGATTACATTTCTATATGAGTTTTCAAACATATTTTTCAAAACGATTTAAATTCGATTATAATATTTCTAGTAACAAATGAGTTAAAAAATTAGAAAAAGTAAAATAAGAGGAAGAGAAAAAAAATTTGTCCAAATTCACGATTTTTTTGAATCAGCAAAATTAAATAAATGATTTATTAAAATAATCAATTCTACGGGTTCTCCCTCTTCATAATCAATTTGAACAGTGATCCGATATGTTGGTGGTATTAAAATTGACGTTGCGGCATCTTCCTCAAAAACATCATCATCTTCACTTCCGTCAAGCATTTTTCACTTTGTTCATTACAACGTTGAAAAAAGGCAAAGCTGTAAATGAGATTATTTTAGATTGAAACAAATTTTATTTTTATTCACTTCATTTTATTTCATTTTATTCTTTCATTTCAGTTACTTCTATTCATTTATGACTGCTAAAATTAAGCACTACTCATAACAATAACTAATTTATTATTAATATTATTCCTAATCATTTTTATGAATGTATGCTATATTAGGTAGAGAAAAATCTAAAATGAATTTAGAAAAGATATGAATTGCAAATTGACCGTAATATAAAAAAAGGTTTTTCTGCTGTATTGAAATAGTTTTTAACCTAATTCTTTTGAATTATGATATTTGTATGAATGAAGTCAACAATAATACTTGCTATTTCTCTAAACAATTAAGTAAAAATAAAAACGTACGCCACGAGTAAAGTACGTGAATACAGAAAAAATGGTAGAGATGAAAGTTGGAAATCGTTCTATCTTATCTTTTATTCACAAATGAAAGAAGAATACGTTAATTTTTGAAATTATTATTGTACTAATTTAGAATAGAAAGATAATGAATGTATAATGACCGGCTATCATTAAGTAGAAAATATAAAGTAATCCATTTCAATAAATTCATTCTTAATATTTTTTCTTCTTCGTTATAACCAGTTTGCATAAAATTTTTGAATTAAAATGCAGTAATCAACCTATTAATATTTAAACTTGCTGAAAATGACAAGGTTATGCTTGAGTAATCAGCTGATGGTACTTGGATAATTAATAATCACAATAATCACATCATCATGCCATTTCATTTTTCAGGATTTAAGCAATATCTCGGTGATATTTCACGGATGAAATAACTTTTTTGTAAAATATTTTCTCTTCAAAAAAAAATAAAATTAATTTATCTTTAAAGTTTTTGTAATAAGAGAAGAGTTTACTAAACTTTGAAAATTAATTACGATTTGACAAAATTTTGTAAAACTTTTTGTTATTTATTTGAAAGAAAAAAAAAAAGAAACGCTGAGAGTGTGATGAATTTGATCTTTGCTCTAATTTGTTCTCTGATAGATGATAAAACTTTTAACATTTAATGTTATTTCTAAATAAGACTGAGAAAAAAAACGTTTCTACGTGGTACATTTGATACACGTGACGTGACGGATCTAGCTAACCTGTGGTTGTTCTCTGAATAAAATAAACGATCAAATCACCAAACTTCTTTTTGATGGTTCATACTTCGCCTACTTTCCATGTTTTTTCGTCGAAATATTTGATACTGAACTTTCGGAACAAGTTATTAAATAGAATTTAACTGAAAAAAAAGTTAAAATGAAATATGACAATTCGATTCATTAAATAAGCTATGAAAAATATTAAATTATTTTAATACATATAAAGTAAAATTATTTCAAACAATTAAAACATTTCCTTTCTTTTTACTGCTGCATCTTTCACATCAACATTGTTCAAATCTTAGGTTATCCTTTCATAACTTTTCGTTACATTAAATCAATCCGCATAAGTAATCGCATAAGTAATCACGCATAAGTAACCAACTAAGAAATGAAACATAAATCACGAAACAAACGTTTATTTCAGTAATTTTGGGATGTTCGAAAATCAAAACATTGGTATTATTTCATTAAGTGTAGAAATAAAAAGCAATAAGTAGAAGTTAAGATTAGGCTCAAGAAAAGAAGGAAAAAAAGCAGAATAAATAAAATATGAAATTTGATATGAAATCTGATTTTAAAATTGTTATTGTCGAAGAAACAGTTGGTTTTTTTCTTTCATAATTGTAAAAATTTCCGTCATTTAGTATTTTTTGAAATTCTATGCTAAATAATACAAGATGTACTTCAAAATTAACTTATCAGTAAATTGTCAGAGATAATTAAAGGTGATTCAAATATCGATTAACTGATCTTGTGTTTCTTCATGTGGTACTATCAGGTTTAATTTTCAATGAAGCTTTAGCAAATTTTAACACTCATTACTTTCCAACATTCAATGAAATCTGAATACATTTCAATTTTTCAATTTTATTATGGAATTATCCACTTCTCCATTTCTCTTCATTTTTTCAAAAAATGCTCCCAAACTACTAAATCGCTGATATTCAGAAATTTTTATAATCAGCTAAGAAAAGAACCAGTTTCTTCGACAATAGCAATGATTAAATTTGATTTTATATTTAGTCACATATTTGATGGCTATTATCACAATTATATTTCATGGGAAGATGCAGTTCTCTATCTCAAATACTTCAATTGTTCGTCCAAATTGTTCAAAATTTCCTACATTATTGGGTGCGTTGAATTCAAATTATTGTAAAAATTAATTAAATATAATTAACTATCAAAAAAAAAAAATGCTCTTTATTGTATTATTTAAAAAAAGTCAAGTTATTTTTCTCTAAAAATTGAAGTTGATCAAAACATATCAATCTTATTTAAATTATTATTATCTGTAACACAACTTCACCGTAAAGCTTTATACGGTTTTCTACTGCAATCTAAATGACAAATTACCGTAATTCTTTCTTTCTTATCAAATAACCCATACGTGTAATAGAAAAAGCAATAAATATTTCATTCTTCAATTGAAATTGATTATTTTGTTTAGCAAACAAACAAAAAATTAATTCGAAAACAATCAGTGATATTTTCGCTTCCGTAAATTTTTCATGTTAATTATGTTGTATTTTTAACACTTATATGTATATATATTTTCATTTTCCAAAAAGATTTTTCTGTTTTCTAATTTTATTTCTAATTTTCCATAATTTATAACATTTCGTTCTTTATTTCGTTTTAAAACTTAAATATATCAAGGAACTTTACAACATTTTAATGTTAATTCAAATTTAGTGCAATTGTTAACAGTCTCATTGCAAATTTGAAGCTTTATTAATTGAGAAATTTCTACCATAATTTGTTCAAACATCGAGAGCTACTATAACCTGTCATTCAAGATTTTATAATCGCTACAATCATTTATTCATAAATTTATTAATTATATAGGTTAATTCTTCTATCATTTTTTTGTCATATCTAATTATTGAAATATTGTTTTAAGTTATTGCAAATATCAAAGCAATTTTATTGAAAAAGAAATTATACTATACAGTGCAATGATACGTAAGAAATCAATATGTTTACTACAAAAATACACGCATAGTAGAAGTTATTTTTTTGAATGATTTAATAAATGCAAGTTAAAAATTAAAAATTTAGTTGTTTATTTTAAATAAATACTATTATTGTTTATATGGCAGTAGGTTTTTTCTCTTAAAAATTCATTAATTTTTTTTCACCTTTGTTATAATACTATTATTATTATTACAGATAACAGCTTTGTGGAATAATTTTCTGAATAGTCTAATGATAAGGTAACAAAAGACTGTAATGATAAAGAATATAAGTATTATAAAAGGAATGATAATATCAAGCATATAATAAGATACAAATGACATTTTTCTGCCGTATGGGTCGAAATTCGCTATTTGACCAAATTCTGCAGCAAATTCAACATGCTTAATGAGTTGTTCCTCAGCTTGATTAGGCTTTTTTGCCATCATTTTTGATAATCTTTCAACTTTTTGGGCATAACTAAAGTAACAAAATTTATTTATCGGCTAAAAAATCAAAGAGTAAGCTGCTAATAATTTAATTATAAAAGTGGTAATCTAGTATGAAAGAAATAGATAAGACATATTATTATTAAATCATGCTTTAGTTTCTCTTTCATTCCACATGTATTCTGGAATATTTGGAATATTTTCAGCATTAAATGAAATAATTTTCATTCCTTACTTTCTTTTTTTCTGTTTTTCTTCTTTATCATTCTTCTGAACGCTATCACTTCTTTATTTATTCAAATAAAAACCAAAAATAAAAACAAAAAACAAAAATATCTTCGGTCTAAACCTGTTTACGAGCTACTAAATTTTGATCCGCAAAAAAGAAAAAATTAAGAAAAAAGTGAAAAACCCATAATGCAAAATATTCAACAAATGATTTAAACAAATCGCCTGGTTATATTTATTTCCTATATTGTTTATTTTATAAATAAAAATGTCTCTTTTTTATAACAGAAATATTTGAAAATTTGATAAAAGTTTACCTTTTGTCATAGATGATATTATAAATTGCATTTTGTATTTTTTCTTTTATCGCAAGTTCCGAAAGAGATAATTTGATACCAAGACCTAATCGTTGAACTAATACAGCATTCTGCATCTGATCACCAAATAGTGGTACCACAACAATAGGTTTTCCACGATTCAAAGTTTCCGTTATGCTATTCATACCACCATGCGTCAAAAATGCTATCAAATTTTTATGTGCTGAAAAATTTTTTGCATATTATTTTTAGATAATTTCATTACATATATACTAAATTCATTTGTCAAGCAACTACCTAACAAATCAGATTGTGGAAGCCATTTTGACGTAATCACGTTTGGACGTCCCTCAGCGATTAGATGCTCATCTTTTTCATACTTCCAGATAAATGTCACATTGGGGAAACTATCGAATGCATCTAGAAGTGCTTGCTTAGTTTCGTTAGGCATCCAACAACTCAGTGTAACGGTGCCGAATGATA